CTCACTGTTTCTGAACAAATAAAATTTTAAGAGGTCTGATATGCACAGAGTTTTATTAGAATGCAGTGCCATTTAAAAGAAAATTCTGCGTTGATGGAAATAGTCCATATCTGTGTTGTTTGACACAGAGCCGCCTACTAGCTATTGGCTATGAGCATGTAAAATGTGGCTAACGTGGCTTGAAATTTGGCCAGTGCTACTGATAGCTTTATTTTTACATAATTTTAATTAATGTGAATTTAAATAACTACATGTGCTATGCCTAAGGTCTGTTATATTAGAGCCATTTAATGAGTCAAACAAACTACAAAGAATAAAGAAAATAATTCCATATAAAATGAGTCTAATAATAGAAAGCAAACAACATATTTTATATAAATTTCTCTGAGTAACTGACAACAGTTAACTTTGCATGTTATCCCAGTGAAAAGTTGCAGCCTAACTTGGCACAAAAATAGGAAAGTTGGAGGAGATACCTGTCTCCTAAATTTCCTAAGCATAAGTGTTTCCACGGCAATGGAGAATTCATCCAAATGTAATAAAAGTGAGTGGCTAGAGTATCTGTATTGTTCAATTTTAGTACATTTTACCTTTAATTATATTTTTCTGAATCACTGATGGGCTAATACGCAGGACAGCATTTGTTCAGGATCGAGACTGACAAGTCACTGTAAGAAGAAAAGAGAACGCCATCACTTTAATGGAACACTGGGAACTCTGCTGATAGAATAAAACGGGAAGGTATGCTACCCTTTGGAATTCCTTTGAGTAACAAGATGAGCTATTGTATATTTTCCAGTTATGGTGGCATTTCCCCAAGGAGTTCTCCTGTCACAACTTACCTTTGGAGGACTCTCTCTCAGTCTCTTCCAAGAAGTCTCTGCCCTAGTTCTCAGCTGAGATCCAGTTTCCTGGCCATTCCTGCTTGCTCTCCCCCCTCCAACTCTCAAGCCTACGGCCCTGGCCGTGGGAGGCTTTGAGAGGTTCTGACAGGCAGACAGTATGTAAAAAAAAAAAAAATCAACCTTGTGTAAAGCTAATTCTGAGCAACTGCCTTTGCTGTATGTGACATTTGTGAAAAAGATGATCACTTAAAAATTTATACAGTAAATACTACTGGTATGTCTGAATAGGTTTATTCTTTCTGCATTTTTTGATGTTTAATATATAGAGTTTTAAAATTTATATTTAATACATTTGTACATATAATCGTTATTTTTTCTGCATTCTTATTTCATTTTGTTTTAGTTATTGAAACCAGCTGGTCAATTCTCCTGCAAAGTGTTTGTTGCAGGAAAACCAACCAGAGCCATCACAAGGCTAATAAAATCATCCTTAAGTGGAAATAATGTTAATGTCTTAAGTAGCAACTGGTTATGTGTAAGATGTGGAGAAAATGCAGCCACACGGGGCTGTGGAAGGGTTCTAGCGGCAGAGAAGGCAACAGGGAAGGAATGAAGAGGGGGTGGCAAGGAAGGAAGAGTAAAAGCCAACACAACTGCTTACGGGGACACCTGGTGTCTGTCCTAAATCTTCATTTATGGTTTGGGGCAAACGCGGCAGGTATTTATTTGTGTTTGCTTTCACCCCCGGACATCAGTACCCAGGCTTGTGACTGTCAGCAATAAGCCAACAAAAACCACAGGACCTGCTATTTGGGCAGTGAGTACTGTGACCTCGACTTATGTTACAAGGAGGGTCCAGACTTCCCTTGGTATCTCTCAGTGGGAAGGAGAAGCACAGACCACAGTGGAAGGACATTTCCAACTTGTGAGGCTGAGTAGCTTTTCCTACTAAGGTCCAGCGGGTTTTGATACAGTCCCTTTGGCAGGGCCCGGTTTTCCTTCTCTGGAGAGTGTACACTATAGAAGTTTGTGGTGGAACTGCAGTGGATATGTGAACAACAGGGAAGGACACACACTGGGAGGCACCGTTTCCATTGTTCCATTTTTGAATTATCCTTTTAGGCTCCTTATATCAGAACAGCCCCTTTCATCCACCCCACTTTTTTTTTCCTTCCAATACATAGACATTTCTGAAGCATGTCAGCCTATTCCTGTGGGATGTTTCATGAGGTGGACTTGTCTAATTCCACCCCATTTCCTATATATTCATGTTAGGAACCCCATGGAAGTGATAAGAGGTGCTTGCATTTGTGTCACAGAGGGGACCATGGTAGATTTTGACCTAATGTGGGTGGTGCTAGGCTTGATGATGTCATTCAGGGGGGGTCAACCAGATGCACAACTGAAAAGCTGTGCATCCACTACTCTTTGGGACAGGTGTCAACACTAATGACATTCTGTAATAGCATCTCACACCTTGAACTATGTATGACAGCCTGCTTCCCCCATGACCCATCCTGTGTCATGGGACAGCTAGAGAGCTCACCTTGTGTAAAGGGTAGTAACTCTCAGAGAAAACTACCGAACTTCAACAGACCCCGCAACCCAGTAATTCCTCTCCTAGATGTCTGCTAAGAAATGAGCATTGTGTCTATCCCTGGGAAGTCAGACTCAAGAGTGTTCATGGCTTTCTTCATATAAGGCTACATTGAAAATGACCTAAATATCCACGAACTGTAGAATGCCACCCGCTCTGTTCCATCCTTTCTTCTCCCCATCGCCTTCTTGAGGGGCAGGAGTTCTGGCTCACGACAGATCTGGGCCACCTGTCAGGGTTCCCACTGTAGGATGTAGAGGGCAAATGTGTAATAGCAGTGTTCCCCACATTTTGCTCCACAGCATGCTACTGTGTCTTATCTGAGAAAGTCCCCAAGGTCAGGTTGGTTTCAGAATGCCACTAGAATTTCTCTGGCTGTCTCCTGAGATGTGAGATATATTATTCAAGGTTTCCCAAACAATCTAGAGTCAATCCCTACAAAACATCTCAGGGCATAAGACCTATGTCATAGCCACTAGGGGTAACACTCCACCAAAGAAATAAACAAGGTCTATTTGCTGGGACACCTTTTGGCAGACCTTCACTTGGATCTGGATTCAGATTCTACGCTGTGACTCTTGGTTTCTTAACACACAGACATGACTAACAGAGGCCTAACGGTATTAAGGCCAGGGCTGGAGGCAGGTGGGAATGAGCCTAGAAGGAGCAGTGTCCATTGAAGTCCAAGAATTAACTGTCAAGAAGAGGTGAATTAGATGCTCAGGTCTGCACCTCAACTTTTTTAGTTCTGACTTTTGTTAGTTTGGATTTTGGGATTGTAACACTTTTTTTTTTCACCCTCTACCTGTGTGTGTCTCTGCCTGCATATTTCATATATACAGAAAGATGCTGAGGATTATTTGCATTAAATCTTAACATGATTTTTTTGGGACCTGGAAGTTGTGGTGACTTTTCCCTCTTTTTGTGTTTTCCACAAATACCTGATTTAAGGTAAAAAGTAAATCATACCCCAATTATGCTCAATATTAAATTATAGATATATAACATAATGACGTCAATATTTATGGGTCTTTGAAATGGGTTGATCTTTAAAAATCCCCGAAACAGACCAAGCCTCATTCCTTCAGCTTCCTTTCCCTAACTCATGCATGCTAGTCTGTTCTCTTTTGTTTCATTCAGTCTGTCAAGTAGACTGCCCTCCACTTTTTGTCCTGCCAATAAATTCTCGAAGAATCTAAAGAAGGCCACATGAAGATGACTTGTTCTAATACAGAAAGAAACCATACCTCACCATATCTAAAAGAGCAGCAAAGCTCTTAAAACCCAATACTTCATGTGTTTGTTGGGCACAAGAACATTCAGGCAATACTGGAAAATGTAAAAGCAGCTTAAATTATCCATGTTACAAGTGCAAAGCCACTGTTATTTACATGGGAACACAGCTACCTCAAACTAAGAAACAAAAGGTTAACAGGTTTTCTAGGCAGCCTGGCAAAATCTGCTTCACGGGGCCCAAAGGCCGGGGCCTCCAAATTGGGCAACGTCATGTTCTTTGGATATTTTCACTCATGGATGTCTAACAAAGAGTAAATGTGTAACTTGAGAGAATTTCAAAATATTGTTTTTCAGCCTCAAAGAAACTGTCAAGTGAAATTAGTATGACAGGTTTAAAATTCTATTCTTTGATAGGTATAGGTATTTTATGCTATTCTGTACACTTTAAATAATATTAACAAACAAATCAGCAGATATTAAGTACTAAAATATAGGTACATTTTCCTTTAAGAATCTGAGATTCAGCCTACAGTGCCCCTGTTATATTCATTCAAATTATTTTATATTCTAAAACAATGAAGCTTCTCAACTGGTGGAATGTTGCCAGCGGGTTTCAACAGAGTTTGAAGGCAACATAACCAAAAGGCACAGTTGAAACTGGCTTAAGGAATGAATGGGCGCCTTATCAGAGCAGCTGAACTGTATACAATTAACAGCATCTGTCCACACTCACAGGGCCCATATAGAACAAGCAGGCCCTGCAGCCCCACAGAGCAGCAACCTTCAGCTTCTGGCCCTTCAGTCCCCATGACTGAAAACACGAAGGCAGCCTCCAGCCGGCACTGGAAGAACACTGCCACATTTTAGTGATGCTGCAGGATCACAGAGCAACTGCTAATCACTGCTAATTAGAACAGTGCTGTTAACCTTAGCATCAGGCTTCAAATTAATCAGCTATCATCAAAATACAAAGTTGTTTTAACAGTAAGTTTATATTTATAATGGCTGATTAAAAATCATTCTCGTTTTATTTTTTTGAAACGGAGTTTCACTATGGACTCCAGGTTGCCTCTGAACTCACTGTGTAGCCCTGGGGTAGACCTGAACTCTAGATTCCTCTGTCTCAGCTGCCTGATTACACGTTTCACCACCACTGTGCTAACTTTTACTTTTAAAAGGTGTGTAAATTATCTCATCTTTTGTATTTGATGAATTATCAGTTTAATTTGGCTTACATTTCTGTAAGAATGGTACTAAATTCACATGATTTTATATTGATAAATTTTACTCACAAGAGTATATAAAACAAACAAAATCCAGAGTTTCATTAAATAAATTTATTTGTTAAAATAATTTAACTCCAAATACAACTGTTGAATTTGCATTGAGTTATAACTACAATTCATGTTTTAATTGAAATGTCAAGGTTTAACAACTGACATTCTGTTATAAAACAATAAACTGTTTGTTCAATTTTAAATGGTCAGTTGTATTAGAGCTCAACAACTAACTGTGAACTATAATCTCTGGGAAACCCCAAATCAATAATGATAAGTCTGTTTTCAAAACCTACTGCAGTCATTCTTGAAACCCTGATCAAGATTTAATAGATGCACGATGACAGTTAAAAAAAAGAAAGAAAAAGACCCCCAGAATCTGTAACATTTGATTGGCTAAAGAGACAATTAAAGCTTAACCAGTGCTAACACAAGACTACTACAGGAGCAAAAAACTAAAAAACCAAAACACTCAATTTACACAGATACTGACAACATTCATACGGGGAAAATCCACTCTTGAAAACAAATACCAGACATCCTTAGGCAACATTTCTTTAGAGAAAAGCAAATTTCAGTAGTTTTACCATAGAAAAGTGATGGCAACTGAGTCAAAGTGATGGCAAGTGAGTCAAAGTTCAATCCTAATTCTACAAACTAAAGGACAAAAATCATCTAAGCACCTTTCAATAAAGATTTTATATAATACTTCTGATGCTGGCTTGTTTTGTGTTAAGTTGAATAAAACGAAGGCATCAGTTACCATCACTATCACAGCTTAAAGGAACCAAAAGGTTGCAACATTAAGGAAAAAAAAAAAACTTATAGAAAAATGCTGCTTTTGTGTAAAACTAAAAAAACAAAAGAAAAACCTGACCACGATAGCTAAAGAAATAGTGGGTCTTTGGATCAAACCATAATATCTTTAAGGCATGTTCGAAAAACTTTCACTTATCTAGTTGCTAGTCTGATCAGGGCATAACGTAAGTAGTGACCCAGTCACCACTTTTCCTCTGTAGCCACTATGATTTCATGTGCCAGCAAGTGTAATCTTTCTTCTCTTGAGCTTTTTAGTTCCATCTTGGCAAAGTCATTCAGGGTGCTTGGGATTCATGCCGTGCTGACGACAGTGCAGGCAGGCAGGTCTCCCGCTCTGGAGGTCTCCGTGTCTTGTCCCTACCCACAGAGGCTGTGGGGACACTGGTCAGGCGGCCATGTCAGTTCTTAGCAACCTCTTCACAGTAAAAGCCCACCTTAGTGTCTGACAAACATCTCTTGACAAAACCCCAAACCTCAGATAATCTTTGCCATCTTACTTTGCCAGGCTTTCACATCATTTCACCTATTTTTTGCATCTGCATAGCAATCCATGATATAAAACTGGAATCTCTGCAACTGTTTCTAATATGCAATCATAGTTGTCATAAATTGCTATCATGGGATTCTAAAACACAGACTCATTATTAGAAGTTAAAGGCTTCAAAATGCAACTGACTTACTAACAAATATTTCTACTTCAGTAGACAAATCATACTTCTGGAATCTTTGATTATTTTGTTTGGGTCAACTTAACTTTTACACAGTGAAGTCTACCTGAAGAAAACTGGTTAAAACTCTTTTGTCCTATAAACAAGGTGTTTTGTAATTGAAGATTATAAAAAATTTATACAGAAGAATGTAAATATTCACAATTCAAAAATTTTCTCATAAACTTGGTCTGGTTTACTCACAGTATTTCTCCAGTTTTCTCATCTATGAAAAATTCTACCAACCCTTCTTCTATCCTTGAAGAAAGATGTCAGTTACTAAACACTTGGGGGCTACCAATGATTTCTATGATGTGGAAAGGATGCTTAAATAATTTCAAAGAAAAAATGTTTTTGATACACTATATTCTGCAGTATAGATTCTCAGTATAGGCAATTATCTGATTTGTGCCAAATTCTTAGGAACGATAAACACACATGCACACACAGACACACTCTTCTCTCAGTTACACATGTAAGACCAGAGGTTACTTGCACAAGACTGTGGAACCAAGAAAATTTGGGCGCTAAGTATATCACAGGCTCAGTGATATTGCAGTTCTCAAGGCCAAATTTCTCTCCAGAGAGTGGGCTCAAGACCATCTCTTCAGCATTTCTAACTCTGAAGTGAGGTGAAAACCTTTCCACATTTGATTGTAAAACTTTTGAATAGGTTTTCCCTGTGCCATTACTCATGCAAATGATAAATACTTCACGGCTATCAAAACCAAAAATGTCAGAGCTCGAGCACCTTTTTCAAAACAAAATATTCTCTCCAGCTTTATTTGCCACTTCAGTAATCAGGGCAGAATTGTTATAAGAAAACCTTTATATAATTCTCCAGGAAAATTAAAGATAAAAGGCTTTTTGTCCCTCACCTTCCACTCTATAAATTATGTTCTACTTTTAAGCCCAAATTATTTCACATGATTATTCAATTGTTTAAATGCCTGCAATAAAGCTCTGCTATAGCAAACTGGATTTCCAAAGCAGGTTAGCCAAGGGTCACATCACACCATAGCCCTTAAAGGCGAGAAGGAATTTGCTGCTTTAACGAACGTAAAAATGCCAGGTATTTGTACTGTCCTGTGAGGTTTCTGCAAACGGGAACATGTGGCTGCAACATGGCTTCGTTTTCCTTACATGATGGTACTAGTTAATCTACTAGAATGCTTCGTGTTAGTAAGGCTAGGCAATCTCTCCATCTCAGTGGCTTCCTTCTGGTTCAGGAGATAAAGACCTTCCTGCTTGGGTGACAGAGGGTGGGTTTAGTATTTTAATTCTTGTCAAACCCTTGAGAAAGCCTCCATTTTTCTGTGGCAAAGCAGGTGATTTAACAAATTCTAAAGCCAGACTGTATTTTCACACCACTTTGTTCTGACTTTTGCTCTATCAGGACTGATGCATGAGTTAATTCCATGTCACAAATCAGGATAACATCTACAATTAAGCATCAATTTTGAAAAACAGAAATGCGTCAGCTGTGCAAAGACTCTCCCTGCAGTGCTGTTGGCAGGCCAGCTGTTTTGCTACTTGACGGAATACACTGGTTAGGAGCTCTTATTCCGATTCCTGAAGTTCAGTTCTCTCGTAGGAAAATACTCTCCTTTAGTTACTTTGTAAAGAAGACAAAATATTTACTGTAAGTGGTCATAGGAATTCTTCCGGTTTTTCCCTCATGATTTTCTTGAATTTATACAAGAGTTGCTACTGTCAACTCAGCGACAATGCCATCGTTGCTTTCAAATGAGATCACCCTGTAGATTGATGGGCTATGCCTTCAAGTTGCAGATGCACAAAGGAGGCGAGGATACTGGTGAACACTGCAGTTACTGAACCCAAATGTACTCAGAGACATCAACTGACAGTCACTGCTCATTTATAAATAGGGTCTGCAGTGCACCATAGCTCCATGCCATGCATCCTGCTAACTCTGCAGTGTGGTAGGCAAGATCTCTATCGCCTGCAATACCCAGCAAGTCCTATCAGGATCGTCAAATGTGGGTGCTATTGTATGTTACAGGCAGAACAGCACGGGTCATCTTTATCAGGCTGGGCAGCATAGTTCATCTGCCTCACGATTTCTGCAAAGAGTTCGTCCACCATTGTTTTACTCTTAGCAGAAGTCTCCATAAAGGGGCAGCCCCACTCTTCGGCAAGGGCGTGGCCTTCATTGGAGGATACTTCTCTTTCACTCTCCAGGTCCACTTTGTTCCCAACCAATATGACTGGCACTTTCTCATACCTACAAAAGACAAAACAAAACATACACATATTGTAGCACTTAGCTCCAAATTAAACAGGTAAAATGTATTTCCTCTTTTTCACTATACTCTACATCATAAACAGTCTTTTTAATTCCATGAAAAATTACTTGTACCACTTGGCTTGACACCTACCTAAGGTTCTTTTGAAACTACTCTCGGAATGGATCCCAAATGGGTTTTTCAAAATGATGTTTTTAATTGCATGCCCTTTAACATTTTCCCAGCAGCTTAAACCATTGGTGGTATATCCATGGACTGTCCCATTGGGTGGCTCGTACCTCTGAACGGGACTGTCCCATGTTGCACCATGAGACAATCATGCAGGCACTACCGGTGGTTCAGAACCACCAGCAACCAGACATATGAATTACAGCCCTGTCGTGAACAGGTTTAAATTTACCTTTCCAGACATATAGGAAAATTATTCTCAGAATCTTGGACTAACTCCTCTTAGATTAAATTTTTCTGTTCTAACAAATGCTTACTCAAAATTTCACTTGATCATGTAATAACTTGCTCTACTGAGCAAACAACTTATAATTGTCAACATTTTACTACATTTTATAAACATCCAAACCAATGGTGTTCAAATAGTTCCTAGATAAGAAACAACACCTCACAGAAATCAGGTTGGAAACTATCAAGTACAAACATGTCCTATTCCTTTATAAAACTGTTACAGATTAGCCAGTTCAAAGAAAATTATTATGGTTCTTTTTAGTCTGAAACTGACTGAACATTTCAATCATTGGGCTTATTTAACATTATCTCTCTTTTCTTTCTTAAATAGACTAGGGGTCTTGGTAACCATGTTTAAAAATGCTAAAGTAATAAAGCTATGAGTATGATAAGAAAAGAACAAAGAAAAAGATTTACATCATTTTGCTACTTAAGGGTGACTCCCTCTTCATAGAATGGTTGTTCCATATAGTACAGGACGTAACGGATGTCATGGTGTGGAAATACCCGGTGCTTGCCTCCTGCATATTTATTCACTATGCTTGATCACAGAAATACTTTTATACAAACATCATCTCAAAAGATTTGTCCTTTCTGTAATTTTAGTATAAATCACATGCGTGTGTTCCAGTAAGTAAAATACGTCTCTGATTTATAGAGGAAGTAAACGGCAAAACTGCACACGAGTGATAACAAATACAACAGGACATGGCTAGGCAGAAGAGGAAACACCACACATCAAGGCTTGACTGAGGCAGGATTCATAGAGGTTTTATCATTCAGGAAGCTGAGTGGTAGGTAGTAATCATTTGCTGTAATACCTGCACAATTTCATCATCCTGCCAAGGTGATTTTCTCTACCCACCCTAACCTGTAAGGCCAATAATATTCTCATGCATTTCATTTTGGGGGGGCCTAGATTCAGCTAAGAACAGCTTCAACCAGAGGGTGCACTCTTGGCAATGTGCCATTTAGCAATTTGAAACACAACTTAAAATGAGTGGGAATAACAATATCAAGGGTAAATCTCAAGTCTGGCTATTATCATTTTGCAGGATATGGATTTGGACAACTCCATTTAAGTAAAAGGATGTTGTATGAATTTCCATCATACCAACTTTACCTTAAGATCCCTGGTCTTAGATCACGCTAACAGCTCTGAATATCTGACATGAGGACTTTTCACACTTTTTGGACTACTATATACAGATAGTTATGTGTAGCCACGACTGGCCTGTGGAGAACAAAGCCAGTGAAAATGAAGCTATACCAGAGGTGAGCACTAACAGCTCTCTTGATTTGTGGACAGAGAAGGCTGGCAGGGAGCAACCACTGCCAGCTGAGGCAGGATGAGGTCAGTCTCTACTCTGCTTCTTTTGTAAAGATGCAACTGAATTTCCTTTTTCGTATGAGAAGATAAACATCAGTAGTGGGCGAACAGCCTGCAGATGGACCACTCATTTGGGGCTAGAGCAAGGCCAGCGGAGCAGATGTCTGGCCTTGGTGCTTCGATAACTGCAGCATGGATAGCTCTGACAGTGATCTCAGCAAACCCTGTGACCTGCACTTTTGGCCGTTCTCCTACACCCACCCCCCATTTTGCTGTGTATACATAAAGGCGCAAACCGTGCTGGGTTGTTGCTGCCTCTCCACCAAACAGGTCAGGTCCCACCTGGTCCCAGCTTTCCTTTTAGCACATGTCTAGTTTTTCTTAATCTCCCACCGCCTGCTCTCAGGATGCTGCTGGTTTCATGGGACATGGCGAGTATGCTTTAAAATGCTTTACTGGTCACTGAGGTAACTTACAAACGAGTAAAATTTATCGCTTGGATTTAGGTTAAAAGCTAATTTTGATCTTCGTTAGTAATACTTAAAAAGAGGAAAGTGATATTACTATTATTTGTTGTGAGCTATTTTAAGAAATTTTTTTTTGAGTTTAAATATAGTATATCATGGTTTATACCTGAGGAATATGTGGATTTTTCTAAGCTTGCAAACTTATGAAATTGCTAATGGTTCTACGATATACTGTTGTAAATCAAGAGTTTGAATACATTGTACCCAACACTCTGATTCTCAAATGGGCAACCAAAATATTGCAAACATAGGCCTGTGTGTAACAGCATTTACTAACTGGTGATAACATTTAATAATGTAGATGAAAATTCATTACTGGAGAACCTGTCCATCTTTGAGTTGTCAGAAATCTTTTCTAAAAATCAATATGCTAAAGATGCTAGAAAAATACAGATTAATATCTCAGAAGATTTAAAAGAACTAGAACTTTCAGAAAATCAGGTACATTTCAAACTACCAGATGGTGATATATTTCATCTCTTAACATTAAAGTCTGGGACAGTAGAAAATATTTCAAACTAGGATGCAGAGGCTCTGCTTCCGTCCTGTCAACGACAGAGTGCGCATCATTTCCTTTATGTCTCTGTATTTCATTTGTCTGTTCCCACTTAACATGCAAGGCTGCAGCAAAGGTCAAATTAGATAATTTAGAAAAAACAAGTATAAGATAAATGCAAGGTGATGTCTTTTTTCCTTCCTCAAGCCAACCAATGAGAAACCACAGCTTGATAAATAAAGTGGTAAGAACCACAGACATTAACCAGGGAAAGTAAGGTGCTCTTCAGCAAGCAAAACAAGGCAGAGGACTGAAGTGCTGGGGTAGAAATGAGCAAAGGAGACAAGTCAAAAGCAGCATGAAAGCAAGCTGACACCTGTTCTATCAGGTGCTGAGCATCATGGTAATGAGGAATGAGAAAAGCAGGAAAGCATTCTCAAAACATTGATGAATTAAGAAAGAAAATACTGCTACTTGTTTGTAGGACAGAGAATCTCCAAAGGTTCTGGGATGGAACGACAGGATGGGGTTCTTTAAGTAAAGGGTAAGATTTAGAGGGACCTTGCTCCTTCTTCAGAAAGAAAGGTGAGAAAGATAAGGGGAAGAAGCAAGGCAAAGCCATCCAACAAGCACCTCTAACTAGGTCAGTGACTTCAGATTCACCTCATCTCTAACATGTCTCAAATGAACAGTACCACCGTTTCTTAGGGTCTAAAATGAGCTGGACTTGTTTCCTAGGAGCTCTTAAACTCCAAAGTTAAAATTCCAGTAGACACAGTGGGTCACACCCACATTCAACACTCATCTTTTACCAGGTTAATGGCTCAGTCCTCCAAATTCCTCTAAGGACAACTCCCATTGGACTGATTTTTTTTTTAATGGGATATGGAAGTGCATAGCATCAGCAAAGCCAAAAGGTGTGAGGAAACCTCGTGAGTTCTTGTGGCACCAAAGCACCAAGCAGCAGACTATCAATTCCACTAGCACACTGGCTTCTGTTGGGTCTGTGATTCACTGACAAGAGATGACAGAGATGCACTCGGGACTTAAGCAGCTCTCTTTTGCAGCAATATTGTTCCAACTGACACTTGGGATGTTCCTAACTGTGTGAATATGAAGGCTACTCTGAAAAGTTCAACTGAATCACACACTTACATATCCATTCAACTCCTTCATTTGCTTAGCTCCTACCATATGCTAGATACTACTGTCCCCACTGACCAAATGTAAGGAACAAAACAGAGATCTCTGCTCTTACCATGACAACAATTTAATAGAGACACAAATATTAACAATAAACATAATAAGGAAATAATAGATTTACAGTCTGGGGATGTAGCTCAGAGGTCGAGCCCTTGCTGAGCACACACAAGGCCCTGGGTAATGTGCCTGGCATTGCCAAAAAAAAAAGGTTTACTAGAAGGCAAAAAACAAACAAAAATGCAGATCAGGGAAGAGCAGGGGGGCACAGGTGCCACACTGAGTAAGATGACCACAGGCCCCAGTGACAGTTTCCCAAGCAGGTACCAGAGCAAATGGGAAATGGCTCGCACCTTGCTGAGTGAGAGCTGGTGGGAGGAGAATGCCTGGTGTTCACGGGCACTGACAAGACCATGGGATCATCCGTGGAACCCACCACATTCCTGGCAGCATTTCTCTGGTGCAGCAAATATGTTCATGAGGCTAAATACAGCTGAGACGCTGGGGTACCAGAAGTGGCCTCAGGAGACGGTTATGGCAGGGCCCACTCTATGTGGGAAGACTCGGCACCTCTGTAGTAGCTGATGGCAGCTACTGTCATTCCATCTTCTGTTCTCACAGTTTTATGTGTTGTCCTCCTTTCTCCTCCTTTCTAAACACTTCATTTCCCAAAGGACTCAAGTTAAGTCCGGCTGTCACTTTCATCACATACCATCTTATGCATGCATCGGCAAGTGTCCCACCAGCCTCAGTGTATCATCCTGGCATTTCCCCTAGGAGCATGGCCACAGTCAGAGAAGGGCTGATGCAGCTCACACTCATTGGTTTACAGTCTGTGGACAAACACTTGTTTTATTGATATGAACTTCCATACTGTTTATTGTATTCATGAGCATGATTACATATGTATGAATAAATAAATCTAGCTCTTTTAAGCAGCTGTGCTTTGTGGGTTGAATGAAACAT